TGACAAGAAATCATTGACACTGACCATAGTTCCATGCACTGACCTTCACAATGATGTTTTGTGAAAGTTATTTACAGCATTGTAAAATCACGGCATTCGAGCCTACACGTATTTAAATATTGTAAAACATGTCTTTTTAGCTAGCATGTTATTTTAGCTAATTTAGCTAATCTGTAATTTCGCTGGATGTCACAAATTTAAAATAAAGTATATTCTTACAATGAGATTGCTGACACTTTAGTTAAGTTAAGATTCAGTTAATTCATGCATAGAGTCAAATTCGCTAAAATTGCATGTATCTATTTAAACATGTTTTACAGTATACTATGAAGATACTGAACACGGCTTGACTGTGCCGTACAATGCACAATGACTTTGAATGACACTATTCAGTATACAGTATGCAAAAGTTCTTTTGTCAGGTGATCCTGTATTTACGGCGTGTCTGGTCGATAGTTATGACATTCTGTCAACATATCAGGAACAATCTTTTATTGCTTGAATTATTGTTGGTAAGGTTCATTTCAGACTTTTTTCTAGACACCTCCGTGAGAGGTACCCCAGAAGCGGTTCTTCAAGTTGAAGTTGAAGCACTTGTGCATGATAAAACCACATGCAAATACATATTTCCTTTAAAAACGCACCTACAAACTAAATCTGATACATATGTATACAGTCAGCAAAAGTACAAGTGATAATCAACTAAATACTAGCATTTCACTGATATTTACTATAGGAACAAACCTAGAATAGAACTTGAAATTAAAGAAAACACTGCGATAAAGACTTTCCGTTTTCGACATTATAATTTTTTTTTATTCAGAAAAACTTGAATAGTGTTTTTACCAAGTAAAATCATATTCACTAAAGTTATTGTTCATACAAGAGTTTTTGGACACACTGCATAGGTTGCAATTTTGTTCGGTTTCTTTCATAATTCAGAACTAATAAAAAGCAAAAAAATGAGATTATAGCAATTTTTTTTAATATTCTTGTGTAATCGGTAATTATGAAACTTATTCATGTGTACATAGGGAATACAATTTTTAATATAATTCTGAATTACCTTGTCAAAATCAGTGTTTTCATGGTTTATTTCTCCCCCCAAAAAAGAATTTCACAATGTCGAAAATGAAAAGTCTGTATCGTAGTGATAGGAAGAGACTATTTAGTTCCAAGCCGTATTCAAAATGGCTGCCGCATACTATAGAAAATATCTATCGGTAGATTAATCGCATTTATGTACGCAAACTGACTGTGCATATCATGTAGCACTATCTTCCTATTCGTCAGATCATATACGGTGTTTATCAAATATATGTCCCAGAACATTACTTCCGGTTTTCGTTGCTCCACAAAAGTTTGAGCATGCTCTAGAAATGACTTGAATCTGTATCAGGTCATGCTATTTTCATCTGTTGGTCAATAAAAATAAAAATAATGTTTGAAGGTTGCTGGTATATGTAATCTGACATTCTTTCGGTTTGTTGCCGACTCTTTTATAACATCTTTAATAACGTTTCAGGACATTAGTAGTTAGTTTTGTTTGATTTTTGCCATATATCTGTATTTAACGTTGTTCAAGTTGATCCAGATAAATAGGTTTAGTCACCGAGCTTTTTTTTCGAACAGAAAAAGTGTATGTTTATTTTTTGTCTTATATCATAGTTCGAATTCCCACAAACGACCTTAAGCTAAGATGCAAATGTTCTTCGCTAATGCTCGACATTTGAGAGTGTGAACCTTCACACACAACCACAATTGTGTTTGTGAAACGCGAAATAAAAGATGGCCGCCGTCAAATTGTTGAAGGCGGATAGTGCTTGTCACGTCAAAAACATCAGTGACTTTCAACCCGTGATATGTTATTGCTCTAAATACATCTAAAAAATAAAACTAATTCAGTCTGGTTAATAAAAACAAAACAAAAAATCTCCGAGTCTTATTCAGTTTCCAAGAATTGTTTCTGAGTATAACGAAAACCGTTAATGCTCACTTGAGCCGCAACCATTTGCCGGGTACACACTTATTTGATCATTTACTTGTATGTTCAGCATAATTCGTTATTAAAATCGGTGCAAATTATGAAAAATAACAGTGAACAGATTAGCGCATAGTGACACTCTGTGAGGGGGCGTTGACGGTAAAATAGGAACGCGCATGCGCACGCGATCTCTATAGCGATCCGCAGCTGCTGAGTGTCATGAGACCGGAAAACGTAACATCTGGTTGTGGGAGATTATATTTTTCAAAATAAAAACAGATTGAAATCACGGGACTAGCTGACCTTGTAAAATATAAATAAATACTATCAGTTAACATTTGTCAACATGCACTGACTATGGCAAGATGATGTACATATTATGTAAATGTTACTAAGTTTAATTTCAGATTAATGAGAGTAGCCATATCACACGCTAAAACAAAAGAACTAATGGCATGTCTTCGTGGCATAGCTTGTGTCGAAACCATGGCAGGAATCCGGAATTATGATGTTCATATCACGGTTTAATCGTGATTCTTGGCGATCGTTATCATGCGCAGTATTCAATATGGATTTATTGTTTACTCACACAAAATGTATTCACGTTTACACATGAAACGGCATTTACTTATTTTTAATAAAAGACTGTAACGGTATTGCACACACATGTGACATCACTGAATCGTGGCGTTCCGAATTCATCCTTCTGATATTCATTTAAAATGGTTCGGTTGCTCAAATTGATAACAAAAATGAGGAATATTAGACTTACCTTCGGCAGAGCTGTGTTATCACTGTGGTAGTTGGTCTGTTGTTGTCATATATCAAAGCTCAAACCAAAAAATGTTAAAAAACAACAACAGCGATTGAATGTATTAAACACCAGTGGCGGGTTCCACCAATCAGTACACACGTATCGTGGGCGTTGTCCTAGCCAACCAATAGCGGCCCGCACACCAGACGAGCCTCCGTCGGAACATTGCCAAGCCTTCAGCACGTGACTTATTAAACCAATCCGAAGCCATAATTCGTGGGCGTTGTTTCTACCCAAGCTTAGGTGATAACGCGACCCTCCCGAATGCTCCAAAACCCGGGAAAACCCAGCGAAGAGCGCCTTTATCATCTTACTAGAATATCGGTGATCGTACTCAGTGGTATCTTATCTAGTTACCTCGAGACCAAGCTCTTAGAGAAACGCCGGTCATTGTGTTCTTGTTTGAACATTGCCACCGCTGTCCGATGATCGAGATCTGACTGATTTTCCGAAACTGGGTCGAAATATTGCGCAGTATGTATTAGCGAGAAACGAGTAGATTGAAACTTGAAAATGTGCGAACAATCGTGACGTCAATAAATTTAAATAGAACATGTGGCGGTGGTAAATTATTATGTAAGTGATTATTACGATGCCCTTGATGCTAAAACTCATTTTTATTTCCATCGTTTTTTTTTCTTTAATTTATGACGTATAACATATAATCGACATTTTAGAGAGTAT